GTTCTGGGGGGGGGGCGGGACGGGGGGGTGTGCGGTGAGCGTGCCGGGTGTGTGCTGGGCGGGCGGGCGGGGGGGGGTACGGTGGGCGTCCGTTTTAAACCGCATGGCCGTTTTAAAGTGATGACGCTAACGAGGATGATGACAATGTGATGATGATGCCGACGATGATGATGATAGTGGTGATGACGAGGATGATGATGAAGACGATGAAGGGTATCTTGGACCGTCTTGCAGTGCTCTTGGAGATTCTGGGAGCCCTCTTGAGCCCCTCTTGGACCGTCTTGGTGATAATCATGATGATGATCATGATAATGGCGATGATGATGATGATGATGATGATGATGATGATGATGATGATGATGATGATGATGATGATGATGATGATGATGATGATGATGATGATGATGATGATATATGTGGATATGGATAAATGATGATGATGATGATGAGATGATGATAGGTATCCTTGGACCGCTTGGACTTTCTTGGACCGTCTTGACAAGTCCTCAAGATCCCACTTGGTAAAGGATACCTCGAACGAAACGCCATAAAAGGGGAATCCGCATTCTGATCCCCCTGCCCCGGCCCCCGAGCCACGTGGTCCCTCGCGTCTCTGTTCTTTATTAACTCGTAGGAAGCATGGCCTAAGAAACTCCCACCACCTTCTCGTTCCGAGAAGGCGCTTCCCGTCATCCGCCAATCGATGCACCCCGCCCAATCCCGAGCCTGTGGTCCCTCGCGTCTCTGTTCTTTATTAACTCGTAGGAAGCATGGCCTAAGAAACTCCCACCACCTTCTCGTTCCGAGAAGGCGCTTCCCGTCATCCGCCAAAGTATGGCGGATCCGAAGCCAGAGCTCCCCAATGCTTTGTTCCTGCGGAGGAGGAGCTGGAGGACATCGCCCAGCGCGGCATGGAGTGAGCAAGGAGCGGCCGGCCCGCGTCCCAGGACTGGGGAGGGGAAGAGAGCGACAAGAGTCGGGAGCCTTGAGCCTGGGTTGGCGGTGCGCATAAGGGGGATAGGGGGAGAGGAGAAGGCTTCTTAGAATCCTTCCCCCTCCCCCTAGGCTTCTTGGATTCTTTCCCCCCTGCCCCTGCCCCCCACCCCCTTCTGCGCGCCGCCAACGGGTGTCAATGCGAACGGGGTCAGCCGGAGCGCCGGATCCTGCAGGATCCTGCAGAGCCAGGATTGCATTGACCCGGGCTAGCGCGCAGGATCCTGCAGGGTCTGGGAGGATTTTGGAGGATCCTGCAGAGCCTCTCTGGCCCGGTTTTGCACTGGCCAGGTCCAGTAGGAGCCCGAACGTCAGGAGCGAAAACAGGACGCAGATGTGCACGAGTCCACGTTGATTTCGAGAGCGCGAGTTGCGCGCGAACGCTCTTGACACGAGGCTGGCCTCGCAGACTGGGGGGTCGTGTTCCCGCACGTGGTTTGGCGACTGCGTCCTTCGTGGGCCCCCCCATGGAGAGAAGGCGCGCTCCGGCGCGCGTGTGCGTCCCTCGTGGGCCCCCTGGAAAGAAGGGGCGCGCTCGCCGCCCCCCGGCGCGCGCACGTCCTTCGTGGGCTCCCTGGAAAGAGGGCGCGCTCGCCACCCCTCGGCGCGCGTGCGCGCGCGTTCCCGTGGCGCGCTCCCGCGCCTGCGCGCTCCACGGCGGCGGCGTCCACTCCACGCCAGCGACCGCCTCGCCTCGCGGCGTCCCCCGCCGCTCCTCCCCCCCTCCCTCCTCCCTCCTCCTCCTCCTCCTCCTCCTCGCTCCATCTCCTCCTCCTCCTCCTCCTCCTCCCTCCTCCTCCTCCCTCCGCCTCACCTCCTCTCCGCCTCCTCCCTCCTCCGCCTCCGTCCCCCCTCCTCCTCCCCTCCTCCTCCTCCTTCTCCTCCTCCTAACCTCCTACTCCTCCTCCCCCTCTTCCTACTCCTCCTCCTCCTCCTCCTCCTCCTCCTCCTCCTCCGCCTCCCATCCTTCCCTCCCTCCTCCTCCCCCCCTCCTCGCGCGTGCCACAGCGATGCAGTGCATATCACCGAGGCGCTCAAGTCCAAGGGCGTGCTGGTGAAGGCGGTTATGCAGGCGCCGTGCCTCGGCGTTGACGTCGGTAGCGGGCGCAGGCTGGCCAGGGACACCGCGAGGAAGCGAGTGGCCAGAGCAGGTCAGTTGCACGCTCGCCTGCGCCGCCTCGCTCACGTGGCGAGGCGATGGCTGGCCACGGCGCAGATTCAACGTGCTGGTCCGCAGGCTGCTGCACCTCGTGGGCATCAGATCCGTCGAGGTTTCGCTTCCGTTATGTTGACCCACAGGCGTCGCCTAGGCGCCGCGGCGGGCTCCAGCAAGAGGGGGAGATGTCTCACCACAACTCTCGCCCTTCGCCTGCCAGGGGCGGATCCTGGCGCAGCTTTGCCACGCCTGTGCCTCCAGCACTGGTTCGAAGCCTGGCTCGGCGATCCTCCACTTCGCAGTCCGCTCATACGCGCCTGGCCTCCACCTCCTGATCCTCCTCCTCCTCCTCCTCCTCCTCCTCCTCCTCCTCCTCCTCCTCCTCCTCCTCCTACTGCTCCTCGCCTGCTCCTCCGCCTGCCTTGCTTCTCCCTCCTCCTCTCCTCTCTCCTCCTCCTCCGCCTCCTCCCTCCTCCTCCTCCTCCTCCTCCTCCTCCTCCTCCTCCTCCTCGTCCTCCTCCTCCTCCTCCGCCTCCTCCGCCCTCTTCCTTCCCTCTCCTCCTCCTCCTCCCTCCTCCTCCTCCTTCACTCCGCCTCCTCTCCTCCTCTCCCCCGCCTTCTCCATGTCCTGCGTCCAGATCTTCACTATGTTCCCGAGGCCAGAGGAAGCAAAGGCACGCGCGGGGGCCCCATGTCCTCGGCCTTCTCCTACCTGATGCAAGGCGGATGACAGCGAGCTCAGCTACTGCATGCCTCCTCCTCCCTCGCCCTCCTCCTCCTCCTGCCTCCTCCTACTCCTCTCCTCCTACTGCTCCTCGTCATGCGCCTCCGCCTGCTTTCCTCCTCCTCCTCCTCCGTCCGCCTGTCCTCCCTCCTCCTCCTCCTCCCCCACCTCCTCCTCCTCCTCCTCCTCCTCCTCCGCCTCTTCCCTCCTCCTCCTCCTCCGCCGCCTCCTCCTCCGCCTCCCTCCTCTCCTCCTCCTCCTCCTCCATGTCCTGCTGTCCAGAGCCCGACGGGGATTCCCGAGGGCCAGAGGAGCAAGGCACGCGCGGGGCCCCACGTCCTCGGCCATCTTCCTACCTGATGCAAGCGGGATGGACAGCGAGCTCAGCTACTGCATGCCTCATCCTCCTCCTCCTCCTCCTCCTCCTCCTCCTCCTCCTCCTCCTCCTCCTCCTCCTCCTCCTCCGCAAGCGCCGAGTGACGGGGCAAACGACGCTCACACGTGGCATTTCCACGAAGAGTCGTTCGTTGGCCTGGGCCAGGCGCAACCACTGCTTGACGAGCTCGAGGCCACGCTCAATGCTAAGCTGTGGAAGGAGGCCGCTTCACAGTACTGTGGGGCGGGCCTCGAGGGCGGCGCGGACCTTCTGAGCTACAGGCAGTACGTTTCGTCTTTGCTGCAGGCTCGGAGCGGGCGGCAGCTTTCAGAGTTGATGGTGGCCATCGCCACAGGAGGATTCTGGCCGCAGCAGGGGAAGCTCGAGGCAAAGCTTGCAGCTAACGACCTTTGTCTGCGACGCCAGGACGTGGTTGGCACACCAGTTCACATATGTTGGACATGCGGTAAACATCGTGATCCGCCCGCTGTCGCCATGTCAAATGGGTTAGTCCCCGAGGCTCTCGCCGAACAGGATACGTTCCCGAGGCTGAGGAAAGTAGGTATGGTTGTCGCCGCTTTCCGCTCCTTCTATCCGTGTATCTTGGGGCTTCATCTCTTCGGGCCCTTCCTTGGCCCCTCCCAGACGGTGCCCAGGGGCGAATTGTTAGGTCTCCAATGGGCTTTTCGTGTCACTGCTGGGTGGCTCGTTTCTGTAGCCGATTGTGCCGAAGTAGCTAGAGGGTGGTACGATCGAACCTTTGCTGCCCCCTTTGGGCCACAATCAGATCTCTGGCGGCGGTCCATAGGCATGTTGCTGGCAGATCAGTTGCGTCCCGAACATCAGTTAACAGTGCTTCAGATCCCGTCCCATGCAGAAGGCAAAGACGTCGTCGCTCGGGGCTGGCGTTCGTTGCTGGTCTAAGGCGATGCTTGCGTCGACGCCCTCGCAGGCGAGGCCGCTGCCAGAGCTAGAGCTTCGGAGCGCCTGGCCTCCACCTCCTGATCCTCCTCCTTCTCTTCCTCCTCCTCCTCCTCCTCCTCCTACTGCTCCTCGTCGTCCTCCTCCGCCCCCCCCTCCTCCTTCCCTCTCCCTCCTCCTCCGCCTCCTCCCTCATCCTCATCCCTCCTCCTCCTCCTCCTCCTCTCCTCCTCCTCCCTCCTCCTCCTCCTCCTCCTCCTCCTCCCTCCTCTCCTCTCCTCCTCCTCCTCCTCCTCCTCCTCCTCCCCTCCTCCTCCTTCCTCCTCTCCTTCCTCCTCCCTCCTCCTCCTCCCTCCTCCTCCTCCTCCTCCCTCCTCCTCCTCCTCCTCCTCCTCCTCTCCTCCTCCTCCTCCTCCTCCTCCCCCTCCTCCCCCTAAATCCGTGCCACGCTTCGCGTCTGCCCGCACCCTGGCCGAACATGGCAGGTCGTGCATTGTGTGCCGTAGCTAAGCGATCTTGGCCAATGAGACCGACAGGCTAAAACGTGAGTGTTTCCATCTGCTGCCCGTCAATTGTAAGTTACCCCGAGTCCCCCTTGGACGGGATTGACGCTTGGCTGGAGGTTGGACGCACCCCACCCGTACCATGCAATTTGACAAAGACGTTGGTGTGTGCTTTGCAGCAGCTGCGGATTTTTCTGCCAGAACCAGCTCAGGTTTAGCGAGCCCGTGTCGCCCACATTTGATCACCAAGGCTTTGCGCGAGTACCGTGATCGTATCTCTCCGACCAGCTTCCCAAAGCCTGAGCTAGCAAGATTTCATCAATACGTGATTGCGGAAATCTTGGAAATCCTCCCCCCTTCTTTTCCTCCTCCTCCTCCTCCTCCTCCTCCTCCGTTTCCTCCTCCCCCTTCTCTTCCTCCTCCCCCCGCTTCCTCCTTCCCCCCCTACTACTACTGCTACCTCAACAACTAGTGTGATTGTTATTGAATCGCTTCGCTCATTCCGCCGGTCCATAATTGCGTGCCGTTGTCGACTGACCGAGTGGTCTTTCGCGGTGCGGAGCTGCAGGGGCGGCGGCTGTTTTTATCAGGCTTTGCGTTCGGCATGTGGGGCTTCTTGGTGGCAGCTGGGGTAGTCTTGAACGCGTCGCGGGCCGTCTGGAAGCGTTTTGCCTATAGGGACTCATTCGGGAAGCCTCTTGATGGCCTCGTGGGGACTCTTAAACGCGTCGGGTCGTTGGCACTTGCTTGCGTGCTCGGGGCGGCATTTGGGGGCCTCCTGGGGCCGCTTGTGGGCCTTTCGGAGGCCTCCTGAGGGCCTGTTGGGGGCCTCTTGTAGCCTCTTAGGGGCCTCTTGGGGACTCCTGGGGCCTTCTTAGGGCCGATGGCTCGAGATGTTGTTTCGTGTTTCCCCCCCTGGGACATCTCCTGGGGCGTTCTTGGGGCCTCCTGGGGCCGTCTTGGAGGCCTCTTGGGCCGTTTCGGGGCTACCTTGGGCCGTCTTGGGGCCCTCTTAGGGGCCTCTTGTGCCCTCTTGCGGCGGTCTTTGGGGCTGCTTGGGCCGTCTTGGGGCGTGGGGAAGCCGAAAAGGTGGAAGCGCCCAAACCTCTCCAAACCTAAGGAAAACACTAATTTTTGTCCCTCCTGAGGCCGCTTGGGGGCCTCTTCGAGGCCTCCTGGGGGCCTGTTGGGGGCGTCTTGGGGTCTCTTAGGAGCCTCTTGGGGACTCCTGAGGCCTTCTTAGGGCCGAGGGCTCGAA